GGGCCCTGGACAAGGCTGGGCTCCCGGCCCCGGCCCAATCACCTCCATCCCGGATTCGCTCGGGGGCCCTTTCGCCAGCGTCCTCTCTTCGCTCCAAAGACCCAACGGTGCCAAAGCCGCTTTAGTGAAGAGCAGTATGTTCTGATCTGGGATCCTGCGGCGGCGGCGACGGCCGGCGAGCCGGGCCCCGGGCGGGCGAGCGGGCCAGCGGGTAGGCTCCAGGCTATTGTCGTCGCTGCCGTGGCTTTCCCAGCAAGAGCTGAACGTGATCGCGATAAGAATAAAGAGAAAATGGCGTTGCCCCCATTTCAACCCCACTCCTAGCCCTTTATCATCCCCCCCAAACAAACAACAAACAAAAGACTGCCCTGGCTTCGCACCTGCCTCGGGGTGGCGTCGAGGTGCAGGGCTCCGCCTGCAGTCTGACTGGGGGGTGTGCGCAGCGCGGCCGGGACTCCGGGCACTCTCAGGGGGCTGTGTCTGCGTCGGTGTCTGTCTGTCTCGGGGAATGTGTCTGTGGCCCGAGCAGGTGACAGGGAGAGATGGGGGCCCACAACCTACTCAGTGACTTGCTTAGAAGAGAAAATATAAACAAACAAAAAGTGAACAATTTAATTTTTTTTTTGGAAAGGCAGCAACCTTTAAAGAGATAAAAAGAAAGGTTTAAAAAATACAAAACAAAACAAAACAAAAATAAAAATAGACAAAGTTGGGGCAGGAGGCTGTAGCTGGCGCTGTCTAAGGGCTTGATCTTGGGAACCCCTACATTCTCTCCGGGCAGCACGAACTCTCTCGGGGCTCCTCCTGAGGCGAGAGTAAAGCCACCTTCCAGCCCACCTTCCCCTCGTGTCCTTGGGTTTGAGCTGCTGCGGCAACGACTAGCGCAGACTGTCCTCAGAAGTCAAAGAGACTTCTGCGCGCCCACTTGCCTGTCCCACCTCGTGGAACACCGTCAGGTCACTGGCGCATCCGAGCCCAACACACTTGCAACGCTCAACCCCAAATCTTCGCAGCCTCTCCTCCCTGAAAGATGTCCTATACAGGAGATGCCTTTTCATCCGCAAACTCCGCAAACTGTGTTTCCTATTTCGCAACTCTCGCCTTTCTTTCTCTCCCGCAACCCACGCCGACATCTTCTTCTTCCACCAGCTTTTACTGAACTTTTGGACACTGCTTTGAATCGGAGTCCATTGCAGTACACGTAACTGGCTGCTGAGGAAATCTGCCGGGCAGGGAAAGGCACGCACACGAGTTTGCAGAAGAATCTTGGTTTGCATTTCTGTTTGAATGATCCGAAATGGACTCACATCCTGTATGATGGATGGACTGTATATTGATGATTCCATTCTTCGTGCAGTTTAGACATCTCTGTTTGGGATTTGGTTCTTTGTTTTTATTTTAAAAGGCACAAGCTATAGGTATTAGTTGAATGTTGAGGCTTTAACTTTTTCGGTGTCTTTCTACAACTGTGTTCTGTGACTCAATTGTATCGTGTTAATATCAGTACAGACCGTCTCCTCTACGTGACCGTATAATGTTTTTCTCTCCTTGTAGTCTCTATGGCGTGTCTTTATGGAGTAATAAGGTCCTCACGGGTTCAATTCCTTTGTGTTTAGAGAGACCACGATTCAGACAATGGTATATATTTTGTTATCAGGTGCATGTCTGTCTGATTTCTTTTTTTTTTTCTTCTTGTTGGACTATGTTTGTGAACATAATCGTCTTAAGTTATGTTTCAGATTTTCGAATTTATTTATATGTGTTACAATGAATGCTTCTATTTAAAAGGGAAATATTTCTACATGTGCATATAGTTTTCCAAGAGTGTACCATTAACTTGATTGTTGATAATAAAAACAAAAAGCAAGTCTCACAGTTGAATTCTTCTGCCTTTTTCTTGATTCGTTTTCGTTTGGTGGGTGTTTTATTATTATTATTATTTTAATGAAATTTTTAAAGTGATAAGGACGACAGAGGAAATTCTCCTAAGCAGTCAGAAACCAGCGCGGTTCTCGCACCCTAAGAGGGTTGGGGCACGGGAACACACCGAGTCAAATGCAACAAAATATAAAATGTAGTGCTTACAGGATTTTAGCAAACAGACGTTCTCTGGTCTGCGCTCGTTTGTTCTTCAATGACAGAGCACAAAAAGAAAACCAGAGAATTGATTAAAAAAAAAAAACAAACAAAAAAAAGAGTTCAAGTTGGTGCCTAGCCTGTGTGAAAGCAGACGAGATGACAGCGAAGGCAGGATTGGAATCTCGGTCTTTGAAGTAGACCGCAGCGCGGATTCGGCGCGCAGGCGCTGGTCCAGAAAATTCAGCTTTCCGCAGCCGGGCAGACGGCCAGAGCCGGGTGACATCGCGCTGCTGGTTGTGGGCAGACGTATCGGGTGCGACCGCGCCGGGTACTGGGCCCATGAGCTGCGCTGCAGAGTCGACGCGTGCGGAGAAATAACATTAACAACTGGAATTCAGCGAACACTTCCGTGTACCAGGTTGCACTTCCAAGCACAAGCTAAGCTTTTTTAGCCCTCGAAACACCACCACGAAGTAGATGCAATTATTATTAATTTCTTTTAAACAGATGAGGAAGCAAAGAAATTAACCTGCTCAAGAAAGAAACCTACTCAAGAAGTTAACCTGCTCAAGAGCCCGGGTTAATGAGTGGTGGGGCCAGCCTTTGACCCCAGGAATACTAAATCCAGAGCCTGCACATAAACTTCCCACTGTTTTCCAAAGTGCTGTCGCAGGGCCAGCACCATGAGCGTCAACTGTACACACACACATTCTCCCACAGCTCTACACCTAGTGAACCAAAGACCTGGGGGTGAGGTCCAGCAATCTGTGTTTTAACCAGCCCTACAGAGGATCTCAGGAGCTCTGGTAGCATAGTGGCTAAGACACTTGCCTGCTAACCAGAAGGCTGGTGGTTCAAACCCACCAGCCACTCCTCGGAAGGAAGGTTGGGCAATCCTACTTCCGTAGTGATACTGCCTCGGAAACCCAAGGAGGGGTCGCTATGAGTCGGGGCCGACTCGATGGCACATAACAACAACAACAACAACAACAGAGGATCTCAAGGAGCTCTGGTGGCATAGTGCTAAGGCATTTGACTGCTAGCCAAAGGGTTGGCCATTGAAACCCATCAGCCACTGGCCTGGCTTAAGGAAGAGTGGGCAATCTACTTCCTTAAAGATTTACCTCCTGGGAAACCCAAAGAGGGTTTCTATGTTCTGTGAGTCAGAATCGACTGGATGACAGTGAGTTTGTTTGGTATAGAGGATTTCAGAACAATTGCACTACATCTAAGAAACCTAAAAGGGAAGGTTCCAGAATCAAGGCTAAGTTGGGAGAGGGGTGGAAGAGGAGCCTCCTGGCAGCTTTTTTTCTTTGAGGAAAGAAGGGGTTGCCATTGCCCCAGAAAGGAATCCTGCCTCTTCCTTGGCCTGTTTGCTGGACCACCTTCTTCAAGCCTGTGCCAATTTGTGGTGCTTGCCTTGATACCTCTCTGGTTGGGCCTAATACCTCTGCTTCCCTCCTTGAGTAGAGGCTACAGGCTGTCTACTCCACTCCCAGGCTTGATGATTAGCAGCTGTTCTGGTTTAAATTTACCAAAGCTTCTGTTACCTCAAGCATTCTGATATGATTTTCATCTGAGAAGGCAGGTTTCATATAGAAATCTCAGATCTTTGGATCATATCTAACCTCTAATAGTTTTTTCTCAAGGGCTTTTAAACTTTTTTTTTTTTTTTTTAAATTCCGTCTCTAAATATCCCTTCAGTAAATTCTCCAAGACACATTATCTATAAACAATGACATTAATTGTGCTAGAGTAAAATGCCAGCAAATGCCAGATCCCTTAGACCCCAGATGGGTTGTAAATATAACTTAGACGGTCTGGGAGAGGCAGAAAGTTGGACAGGAATTTCTTGACAAAAAGAGCATTCAAAGCTCAGGTAAACCAGCCCTGAGTTCAACTGGAAGAAAATTAACCTTCCCTAGATGTTGGGACCACCAGGTAAGCCTCTGGAAGGTGATGGGTAGGCTATGAAACAGGCAATCTGTAGAAGACAGACCAGGAGAAAAAACGAAAATACAGCATGGAAAGAGGAAGAAAAAGAGAGACAGAGAAAAGGAGGACAAACTAAGTAGCCAAAGAAGAATTGTAGGAAACCCCAGCCAAGATCTAGAGATCATTTCACAGGTGAATAAACTGGCTGAAGTTTTGCAAATTCCCTTCTTCTGGCTTTGACCTGCCCTAAGTTGCTTGTCTCCAGGACAAGGGAAGCTCTGGGGACCCATGAGGTACAAATACTTTCCTGCACTCCCAACCGCACTCCAGCTCCCCCAGGGATTGTATTGTAAATGTCTGGAGGAACATGGAAGGCATCCAGCTTCTTTGAATATCAAATTTCTTTCTCATTTGGGTCACCTCTGCCTCTCTTACTAGTCAAAGGGAAAAACTGTTGGGAAGAAGGTTTATGATCAAATGCAAAACAATGTCCCCATAATATGATGGAGCCTGGTGGCAGGACACTGTGTCTCTTGCATTGTGTCATTTCTTTGGATCCCTGCACAGTGTGAACAAGCTCACTTTCACTTTTCCTCTCCTATGGAATTTGCATTTTGGCTCATCAAGGCATCCTTTTTCCTGGCAACTCTAGGACCACATGTGACTTCACAAAAGCTGCGTGAACTGATGCCAGATGACTGTCCCTAAGCCAAGTCTCCTTCAAGACAGCCAAGTGCAGAGACTCAGAGTGTGGTTTCCGAGAGGAACCAATAACCCAGCAAATGATAACTGTCCATAACTCACCCCAGATGCTTCTCTGTGGCCACCTCATGTTTTTAAGAAGATAGCCAGTGGCTAGATAGAGATGATCCTCATTTCAAGGAAAGTATCTATGGGACATTGGGTGACAAGTAACTTAACCCCTCTGAGCTTGCCCATAAATATGAGTCATAATGCAGTCTTGTGAAGTTGTTGTTGGAATTAAATGATGTGTTTAGTATAGCACTGATTTCTCAGCAAATATTAGTTATGATGATGATGATGATGATGATGATGATGATGGAACTCTCATGTCCTTTCCTGATCTCCCTTGCTCAGGCCTCAGAAGATTAAGAAGGGCCCTCAGTTTTC